AGGTCCGGGACTCAAACCACAGTCGGCCATGTGGGAGTCCAGTGCCCTTAACCACCACACCATCTGCTGGCACCACCCAGCATGATTTTTCAAGCCACCAGGTCCGAGACTCAAGCTGCAGTCAGCCATGTGGGAATCCAGTGCTTTAATCACCACACCACCTACTGGTCCCATGATCACTTCTATTTTTCATATGTTTTATGACAATTACATGTTGAAATCTGCATTTCTGAAAGTGTAAAGAGGCATTCTCCTGTATGCACGATCGTGTATAGTACCTCTGCCATGGGTGCTTCCCTTTACCAATCTTCCAGCTACAAAAGACATGAATGACTAAACCTTGGAAAAGGGATAACATCTTTGATATTGTCAACTCCCAGGATGCACTGCAGGTAACGTTCAAATCCCATCCCAAAACCTCCATGTGGCACAGATCCAAATCGACGAAGGTCCAGGTACCTGTATTTTAAAAACAAAGAATCATCACCTATAAAGGCCAGAGATGAGATGTTATAATTAGAACTTTGTTTCAGAAGTATTTTGCAATTGTTTATATTGTCCACATCATTGTGGTAGACCAGTTTTTCCCTCCCACAGACGGATGATGAAAACAGAGAAGTTAAAATGATCTGTCAATCCATGTTACCCAAACAGCGGTAGATCTAGTCACGTGGTTGTGGGCCCTGGCCACTTTGATTCTTTTTCTTTTGAGGTGACTTGCCTCATGAGGTAACAGAACATTGTCTAATAGCTTCATGACTTTTCTTGAGATTATGTTGCTCTTCTATTTTTCAGTAAATTAATAATTACATTAAAGGGACCAGTAGATGTTGTAACAGTTATGTTGCTGGACTACGAAATGACCGACCATGGTTTGAGACCCAGACCTGGTGGCTTCCATGGCCAGATGTGTGTGCATGCCCAAGATCCCAGGAGGAGAATGGAGGAGAAAGGAAATCACCCCAGGAGATGATTTCTTGCTTTCTGTTTCTCTCTCCCATGAATGCACATGCCCTGTAGCAGAAATCTTGTAAAAAAATTAATAACAGTCTTTTATCCCCCTTACCAAAATCAAATCACTTAATAGACAAGAACAAAGAATTTTGCCCGATACATTATGAAAAGATACCCCCTAGACAAGACTGCAACTTATACCAGGGGCGGGCATTTTGTCTTATTCAACCTCCGGGGAATACACTACATAATGATTTATTGGTTGAAAACAGACACAAAAACATATTCTTGAGGGCTGAAGTGAGGAGAAACTTCCACTTCTTTGCTTTAGGTCTAATGAGGAACCTAGAGTCGTTTTTCTGGCAGACTAAACAGCCTCTGAAGGTCATCCATGTACGTCCTGGTACCGTCTGGGCTGCAGGGATAGAAAAGAGTGCAGCCATGACTGTAACTCAGATCCAACACACCAGCATGGGGCAGAGTTACTTTAGGAAGAGAAGAGGGAAAGGAAGACTCTAAGTCTTTCTATTACGGAATTTGGTGGAGAAGTTCTTGAGTTATGTTGATTAAAATAAGTTTATACCTTCTTGAATATTTTGTAAAAGTTCCATGACAAGACTTAAATGCCAGCTAGTAGCCATTTGGCTACTCAAGCACAAAGACTGTTTAATCACCTATTTCCCTATTATTAATATGGGGACCAGCAGATGGTGTACTGGTTACGTTGCTGGACTCCCATATGGCTGCCCATGGTTTGAGTCCAGGACCCAGTGGCTTGAAAATCATTCTGGGCATGTATGCCCAAGATCCTGGGAGGAGAAGGGATTGCAGTATGGCCATTCCCTGGGTGGTGATTTCTCACTTTCCCTCTCACTGTGTCTGTTTGTCTCTCTTCCTCTCCAGCAAGCACACCTGCCCTAAGGCAAAAAAATGAGGCAGGAGAAAGTTAGCAAGTGGAGGCGGATAAGGGGGCTGAAGCATCTTGCCAAGTAGCTAAAAAGAAAAACCCCACCAGGGCAGAAAATTCGCTGCCCAAGGAAATGTGAGCAGATCAGGGGGATGTCTAGTTGATTAAGCAACATTTGAGACAGCCAATGCGAGAAATCAGTGGGCCCAGTCACATTTAAAATACCCAAAGAGAACAATCAGTGCACCCAGCCAATGATTAACCCTTTAATGTATTAAAATTACCACAGGTTAAAAATGATAAATTTAGCAGGGTGCAACTGCTGGGGAATTTCTGAGCCACTCTTTCTCCGTTTGCTCAGGCCTGCTCCTACCTCTCAGGAGCATACTTTTCTCCTTACTTAATAAACTACTTTTCCTTACACTATTTGCATGTTTTGTTCAATTCTTTGTCTGAGAACACCAAAAATCTGGATATCATCACAAAAGCCATCCTGCAACAAAACCTCTTAAAAAAAAAAAGTTGACACGTATTGGTATTTTGGGGACTTAGGTAATCACCTTTCTAAAATAAAAGACACAGTTAGTTTGAGCTTTAACCAGGTGAAAGAGCACGGTTACGGTACAGAGCCTGGTGGTGGTGTGATGGTAATGCAACTGGACACAAGTAGGAAAGGTCCTGGGGTTGTACCTCAGGACTTTCCTGGGGATACCAGGAGAACTTGTGCCTGGATCCGGGCTGGCTGAAATGGAGGATGGCTGTTGGAGATACCTGTCTCTACCTCATGGAAGAAATAAACAAATAATAAAAAAAAAAAGACAGGTGTATGTAGTTTAAAACTTAGAGAAGTAAGAATTACAAGGAATAACGGAAGGCACACCACCTTGGGTAATTGATATGTTTGGTAGCTGAATTAATTAAGTTTATAAGACATGGGGACAGGGTATATTTTTCTGTGACCAAATGAAATAAAGGGCACTACAATCCTCGTGTAACAAATACCTGTAGGACCCGAGCTGGCTGCTAAAACTACAGCAAGCAATAGTTTTAGATGATGCCAATTCTCCTACACTGTGTAAACACTGGCGCGAAAGTCTGCAAACTGGATTCAGCAGAGGGATTGGGTTTGTAGTAGTGTTTTTGCCTTTCTTTGTTGGGTAGAAAAATCCACTTCTAAGAAAAAGTTTTCTAATGTGTACATATATGTCTGATGGTTGTTAAACCGAGTCTAGTGTAACCAGATTGTAGAAGAAATGCTACAAATTTGTGGAACTAGTTACAGCTTTTATTTGCATAGAGCATGTAGTAATAGGAAGTGAGGAAATTCTTAAGGCACCTGGGGTGGCTATTTACTATACGGTGGAATGTCAGCAGAGATCACAGGCGAAAAAGACAACTGGGTAATGTCCCTACTACCTTTAATGTATTAAAATTACCACATAAAAAGGAAGCAAATTCAAACAGTACACACTTATATTCAGAGCTCTCAAGAGTTTGAAAACGTTAGTTGGGTAAAGAATAGTACTGACACGATTAATAGAGACCAGACAAGGCCTCAACTTTCCTACCCAGTGAAGTAAAGTCTGTATGTAGCATCCTGCTGTAAGGCTAGTTTTTACACATGACGAACATTATCAGACAAAAAGAATCTGAGGTAAAATGCACACGCTTGCTCAATAAAGCTTACCTAACTAATAACAGGACTCAGAACAAAGGAAGAAAAGGGGGCAGGAAACTAGCTCTCACTTATTCTACCTCGCTGCCCCTCATCCTCACAAGAAACCTGTGAAACAGGTACTACCATTCCATTTCCCGGTCAGGAGATGAGGACTCAGAGACACTGGTATGCCTACGGTCATTACTGGTAAATACAAGGCATCAGGTGATTACCTGACCTCCACCGTCACTTTTTACTTATCTCTCTTTTTAAAGAGAGATTTTTGCTATGGGGTTCATACACTTGCCGGAGACATAGAGACAGACAGAGACAGACAGAAAGAAAGAAATCACCCCCTGGGGTGGGGGGATGGCCATGATGCAATCTCTTCTCCATTCTCCTCTCCGGATTTTGGGCATTCATACACATGCGCCTGGCATAAGTTTCAAGACACCAGGTCTGAGACTTGAACCGTGGTTGGCCATGTGGGAGTCCAGTGATGTAACCATTACACCATCTGCTGGTACCCCCCACTGTAGGTTTTTTTGCAACTCTGAAAACTACCTCCTTCATTATCCAAAGGCAAGTGTATGACCCGCCCCCTCTCCTCCTAAAGAAGGCAAAAGGATTAATAACACAATTACTGAAGTTAATAACACAAATACTGAAGGAGTACTGTGACAGGAATATATATAAATAAGCTGTATATATTGAAAAGAACGTGAAGAAAGGGTATGCAGGAAAAAACCAGAACGACTGTAGGAAAGTGAATGTAGGAGTGCACATGGGTGACCTTCCAGGCAGCTATATTTCTAGCTTCTGCAGACCTTCGGGAACACTTACTTAGTTCAAGTCCCTGACTTCATGCACATAATGTTAAGAGCCAAACTTTTCATTTTAGCTGTCACTGCCAGCTCTATGCTTCTTACAGCGTGATCTTGGTTAAGGCAGTTAACACCCCTGGGCCTCAGGCCTATAGGGGTAAAAGAAAGCAGATAATAATAGTACGTGACTCACAGGTATTATGTTAACTACATGAGATAATCTACACACAACTTTTCACATAGGTATCTGACATACAGTAAATAAAACTAAACAGTAGTCATCATAGTTACTATTTTTCAAGGACTCAAGGGAGTACCATGTTCACTGTTCTTAATATTCTAATATTCTTCTGGAGTCTTGGGAATGTAAGTAAAAACTTCCACATATACTCAGCTTGGGAGCTGGAACAAGAACCAGTAGGGGCTACAATCTTACCATTGGTAGGCTTCTTTAAGTCCTGATCTGTAAAATGAAAAACAGTAAAATTCTTTCAGGGCATGACAAAAAGATAAAAATATTAACCACCAAACATGTATTTGCAAAAAGCTCTTTATAACACAATACACAACAAAGCCTGTGCTCTCAAACATGCAATAGAGTTGACGAACTGAAACTTTATAGTAAGGTAATCAAAAGCCCACAGTATTACCTAATAAGTAGAATGGACAAAAGAAAATACGACCTAGAGCCTCAAAGGAGAGATCTGTATGAGATGATCTTATTGTCCTGTGACAAAAGGTAAGCCCTATTATTACTACTTACAGCTGTTGGGGGGGTACACTCAGACGCCGATTTCATTTTACACAGAGAAACAATAAAATGACAGGAACCAGCAGTTAGCATAATGGCTATGACGCTGGACTCCCACGCAGTCGACCACGGTTCGTGTCCCGGACCTGGTGGCTTAAACTCACGCCAGGCACGTGTGCATGCGTGCCCAAGATCCCGAGAGGAGAATTGAGGAGAAGGGACTGCGGCATGACCATCCCCCCTGGGGGGTGATTTCTCGCTTTCTGTCTCTATGTCTCTCTCTGTCTGTCTGGCGAGCGCACACACCCTATAGCGAAAACCTCTCCAAAAATTAAAAAAAAAAAAAGAAACAACAAAATGATACCAAGGCAGCCTTAATAATATGGTTGTAAATAGGTTCTTGTCTAATCTGAAAAATGTTAATAAAACTTTAAGTTCTTACTGCCAGTTATAATTAACTTAAGCCCATCAAAAAGTATTTGAGACCACAGTGCATCTGAAATGATTAGAACTATGAAAAATTTGTATATGCAGGGGCCGGCAGGTGGCATGGTGGTTAATGGCACTGGACTCCTACAAGGCCAACCATGGTTCAAGTCCCAGACCTGATGGCTTGCTTTCTCACTTTCTCTCTCGCGTGCACCCTCTCACTCTATCCCTCTTTGGTCAAATTAAAATAAATAAATGGATAAATAAAGTTAAAGTTAAATAAGTCTTTAAAAGATTTGTATGTGCAAAAATATAGAAACAGCAGCCACAGACAGATCTCAGAGATAGGGGAACACGTATATCCACTTCATTAGGAAAGATATATTTGGATATTATCAGGTATTAGGTAAACATCTTATGTTACGAGGCAAGGTTTCCTGAAGGGAGGAAACAAGCAAAGAAAACAGACCAATTAATCTTTCACCACAGTTTCTTGCCATATGAATTTTATTGCAATTAAAAATGAAAAAAAAACTCAGAATCCTAAAATTCTTTCTATCTAAAGAGTCTGATCTTCATTTCAATTCTGCAACTTTCCCAGAACTTTCTAACATTATACTTATATTAAGGAGTTAGTAGTCTAACTGATCAAAAGAATCTTCCCCAAATCTATTTATCCCCTTTCTTTTGGATACTAAACTCAACAGAGCAGTTCAGATGACTGGGATTTTGAAACTAAGTTACTCAAGAGAGTTATAGGCTGGGATCTTGGAAAAAAATCGACTTTTAAAGCATTTCTCCGGTAGGAAAGCCCTTACATGGCTAACCGAACAGGGTATTTTCAAATAATCATGGCTTTTCCAGGCGACTATGACACCCGGGATAGCTGGAAAGAAGGATTAAACATACAGGCATGGGGAAGTCTTCTCTCTCTCTGAAAACAGAGGTTTATTATGCTGGTGTTTAGGAAGTCGTCGTGGTTCGCTGGCAGACCATCGTACACAGGAGTGGTAGTTCAATTAGAAACATGATTCCCTACTTCCCATCTCCAAAACATTTCTATGTGTGTATGGATTAATTTCCCAGGTCTCAAACAGCAAGTTAAAATGAGGTTATTCAAGCAGCTAAATCAAGATGCCTGCACAGAGAGAATCCAAGGAAGAGAAATCTGCTTGCTCTGACTGCTAGCCTGGCAGGTATTTTTAGCAGTTCTCCTTCTCCACCTTTGTCCTTTCCCTGGTTCAGTCTATATCCCTATAGAAATATGCCAATCATATTTGAGAATAAATACAAAAAAGAACAGGGATAAGAGAAAAATGTAGCACAAGGGGCCATCTCCTCCTTTTTACTATTAACTTTTTTAAAAAGCTGCTTTTCATAGGGAGAGATCTGTAGAGTGCGAAAACAGTGCCTTGGGCTCACTTTGTACAATGGTCCCAGTCTGTAAGAAAGGGAAGTTCGGAGAGGTCAGGTATCAACTTGTTCAAGGCTGCACAGAAGCTGAGCTCCAGGTCAGCCAGGTATGGAGCCCACGTGCTTCTCTGTTACTTTGCTGTGACCTCCTCCCAGTACTTTACTCCCAGTTTCTCCACTGAGTTTCTTTTAGGTCTGACCCAATACCTGGCCAGTCGCTGCTCTAAGAAATGGTACCGTTCCTCTCTGAGGCTTCCTCCGAAGAGTTCCCCAACTCCAGGAACCAGGAGGTCAACAGCGGCAACCTAAAAAACAAACAAAATCACAAGAGCATCACATTTTCAAGTGATTCCTAACACTGGTTAGCTTCTTATGCAAGGGAACTCTTAACACTTTCACAACTGGTTGGTGTGCTGCTTAGTACAAATTTACCGTGTCTGTGCTCTGTTTCACTGTCAAGTGTTGCATCAATTATCTCTGGAATAGGAGCTACCAAACGGCAGGTACACGGCTTCTTCTTGCCTCTTGTGCCATTCACGTGGTGAACCTAACAATGGTGTGTTTTCTTCACACACACGATACAAATGTTCACTATAAAAATGTGTATTAGAGGGACCAGCAGATGGTGTAATGGTGACATTGTTGGACTCCCACATAGTCAGCCATGGTTGAAGTCCTGGACCCAGACACTGAAAACTCACGCTGGGCGCATGTGAGTGTGTGTGTCCCCAAAATCCCAAGAGGAGAATGGAGGAGAAGGAACTGTGGTGTGGCCCTCTCCCTGGGAGGTGATTTCTCGTTCTAGCTCTTTGTCTCTTTCTTTCTCTCCAGCAAGCACACATGCCCTATAGCAAAAATCTCTCTTAAAAAAAAGTGTATAAGAAATTAGTTAATATTATCACCTACTACCATCAGAAATAATTATATTTTGTCACAATTCCTTTTCTTTTTTTTTCTTTATATATTGTTAGAAATCAAATTGCATATAAAATGGTGAAGATAAAGAAAGAGCATACAGGGGACAGCAGGTGGTGTAGTGGTTATGTTGAAACCATATGACTGACCGTGGTTCAAGTCCCAGACTCTGGTGACTTGAAATTCACACCAGGCATATGATGTGCGTGTGTGCCCAAGATCCCAGGAGAAGACGGAGGAGACGGGATTGCTGCATGGCCATCCCCCTGGGGGGTGATCTCTCACTTTCCTTCTCACTGTGTTTTTCCCTGTTCCTCTTTGGGGAGCACAAGTGCCCTAAGGCAAAAACTTCTTAAAAAAAAAGGAAAAGAAACAGCATATACAATAAAGAGAATGGATAAACCAATACTATCACATACGTGAAAGAAACTTTCTGGAGGTGGCTCTGCAAGGTACTGGCTAAAGGAACTGAATGCCACATGGCCATCCGTGGTTTGATTCTGGCCCTGGTGGCTAGAAAAACATACAGTGCACACACCCCAAGTCTCTTTTTTTTAAGTTTGGCACAGCACAAGTGGAAATCATAGAAAACAGAGGTTTATTATGCTGGTGTTTAGGAAGTCGTCGTGGTTCGCTGGCAGACCATCGTACACAGGAGTGGTAGTTCAATTAGAAACATGATTCCCTACTTCCCATCTCCAAAACATTTCTATGTGTGTATGGATTAATTTCCCAGGTCTCAAACAGCAAGTTAAAATGAGGTTATTCAAGCAGCTAAATCAAGATGCCTGCACAGAGAGAATCCAAGGAAGAGAAATCTGCTTGCTCTGACTGCTAGCCTGGCAGGTATTTTTAGCAGTTCTCCTTCTCCACCTTTGTCCTTTCCCTGGTTCAGTCTATATCCCTATAGAAATATGCCAATCATATTTGAGAATAAATACAAAAAAGAACAGGGATAAGAGAAAAATGTAGCACAAGGGGCCATCTCCTCCTTTTTACTATTAACTTTTTTAAAAAGCTGCTTTTCATAGGGAGAGATCTGTAGAGTGCGAAAACAGTGCCTTGGGCTCACTTTGTACAATGGTCCCAGTCTGTAAGAAAGGGAAGTTCGGAGAGGTCAGGTATCAACTTGTTCAAGGCTGCACAGAAGCTGAGCTCCAGGTCAGCCAGGTATGGAGCCCACGTGCTTCTCTGTTACTTTGCTGTGACCTCCTCCCAGTACTTTACTCCCAGTTTCTCCACTGAGTTTCTTTTAGGTCTGACCCAATACCTGGCCAGTCGCTGCTCTAAGAAATGGTACCGTTCCTCTCTGAGGCTTCCTCCGAAGAGTTCCCCAACTCCAGGAACCAGGAGGTCAACAGCGGCAACCTAAAAAACAAACAAAATCACAAGAGCATCACATTTTCAAGTGATTCCTAACACTGGTTAGCTTCTTATGCAAGGGAACTCTTAACACTTTCACAACTGGTTGGTGTGCTGCTTAGTACAAATTTACCGTGTCTGTGCTCTGTTTCACTGTCAAGTGTTGCATCAATTATCTCTGGAATAGGAGCTACCAAACGGCAGGTACACGGCTTCTTCTTGCCTCTTGTGCCATTCACGTGGTGAACCTAACAATGGTGTGTTTTCTTCACACACACGATACAAATGTTCACTATAAAAATGTGTATTAGAGGGACCAGCAGATGGTGTAATGGTGACATTGTTGGACTCCCACATAGTCAGCCATGGTTGAAGTCCTGGACCCAGACACTGAAAACTCACGCTGGGCGCATGTGAGTGTGTGTGTCCCCAAAATCCCAAGAGGAGAATGGAGGAGAAGGAACTGTGGTGTGGCCCTCTCCCTGGGAGGTGATTTCTCGTTCTAGCTCTTTGTCTCTTTCTTTCTCTCCAGCAAGCACACATGCCCTATAGCAAAAATCTCTCTTAAAAAAAAGTGTATAAGAAATTAGTTAATATTATCACCTACTACCATCAGAAATAATTATATTTTGTCACAATTCCTTTTCTTTTTTTTTCTTTATATATTGTTAGAAATCAAATTGCATATAAAATGGTGAAGATAAAGAAAGAGCATACAGGGGACAGCAGGTGGTGTAGTGGTTATGTTGAAACCATATGACTGACCGTGGTTCAAGTCCCAGACTCTGGTGACTTGAAATTCACACCAGGCATATGATGTGCGTGTGTGCCCAAGATCCCAGGAGAAGACGGAGGAGACGGGATTGCTGCATGGCCATCCCCCTGGGGGGTGATCTCTCACTTTCCTTCTCACTGTGTTTTTCCCTGTTCCTCTTTGGGGAGCACAAGTGCCCTAAGGCAAAAACTTCTTAAAAAAAAAGGAAAAGAAACAGCATATACAATAAAGAGAATGGATAAACCAATACTATCACATACGTGAAAGAAACTTTCTGGAGGTGGCTCTGCAAGGTACTGGCTAAAGGAACTGAATGCCACATGGCCATCCGTGGTTTGATTCTGGCCCTGGTGGCTAGAAAAACATACAGTGCACACACCCCAAGTCTCAGCAGGATGGAGAATTGGAGAAGGGACTGTGGTGTGAACAGGTACCACTGGGGCTTTCTCCCTCTTTCTCTCTGGTAAGTGCACACGCCCTCTGGCAATTAAAAAAAGAAAAAGAAAAGGAAATAACTTTTCTGGTCAACGATTTGGCAACAGATAATCAAAAGCCTTAAAAACGCAATATGCTTTGACTCAGCATAGTTCTAGGAACTAGTCCTAACAAAATAATCAGAGATGCTAAAAATGATGAACACACAGGATGTTTATTACAGCATTAGAGTAACAAGTAATTCAAGAATGTAATAGGAGACTATTAGATATATTTTAAGCAGAGATAGAAAAACGACTGACATAAATAATGTGATGTTGACTATGTTGCCAACAAAGATTTTGCTTCCTGCTTTTCTCTTCTTTGTATTTTCTAAAATAAAAATGTGTCATATTTTATATAGTAAACATCAAAAAAAAATTTTTTTTAAGAGAGATTTTTCCTATAGGGCACAGGCACTCGCCAGAGGGACAGAAAAGTGAGAAATCATGCCCCAGGGGGGATGGCCGCACAGCAGTCCCTTCTCTTGGGATTTTGGGTGTACATGTACACATGCCCAGTGTGAGTTTTAGGCTGCTGGGTTTGGGACTCAAACTGTGGTCAACTATGTAAGAATCAGGCGACATAACCATTAATGCCATCTACTGGTCTCACCATCAAAAAACTTTGAGTAGGAGAAAAAGGTAGCTTGATATTTTAATTTGCACTTCTTCAATTACCAGTCATATTTGATTTTTTAGAATGTTTGCTTTATTGGCGACATGTCAATACTTTTACAGGGTTTTCTTTTTTAAAAGTAGTTATTGGGGCCAGCAGTTAGCGTAATGGCTATGTTGCTAGACTCCCATGTTGTCGACTGTGGTTTGAGTCCTGGACCCGGTGGCTTAAACTCACGTCGAGCGCATGTGTGTGCGTGCCCAAGGTCCTGAGAGGAGGATGGAGGAGAAGGGATTGCGGCGTGGCCATCCCCCCTAGGGGGTGATTTCTCGCTTTCTGTCTCTCTGTCTCTCTCTGTCTTTCTGGCAAGCGCACATGCCCTAAAGCAAAAACCTCTCAACCTCTCAAAAAAAAAAAAAAAAAGAAATAAAAAGTACTTATTTAATTTATTGTTATTATTTTTAAGTCTGTTACAGAACACCTGCACTCACCAGACACACACACACACACACAGCGAGAGCGAGAGCAAGAGAGAAAAATTGAGAAAGCAAGCCACCAGGTCCAGGACTTGAACCATGGTCGGCCACATGGGAGTCCAGCATCTTAACCACCAAGTCACCTGGTGCCCTCAGAGCATTCCATTCTTGTTTATTTCTGACTCTTAAGAAGCGATAGGGCTCTTTCCCACTATACAAGATGGCAGGTGAAAAAGCTGCAAAGCAGGATACTAAGGAGAAGAAACCTGAAGCCAAGAAGGCTGATGCTAGTGGCAAGGGTGGCCCCAAGGCTAAAAAGCCCAAGAAGGGGAAGCCCCATTGCAGCTGAAACCCTATCCTAGTTTGGGGCATCAGCAGATACTCCCGGTCTGCCATGAATTCCAGGAAGACCATGTACAAGAGGAAATACTTGGCCACTAAATCCAGGATTGAAAAGAAAAAGGAGAAGGTTCTTGTGACTGTCACAAAACCAGTTGGTGGAGACAAGAATGGTGGTACCCGGGTCGTTAAACTGCGCAAAATGCCTAGGTATTATCCTACTGAAGATGTGCCTCGAAAGCTGTTGTTGAGCCATGGCAAAAAACCCTTCAGTCAGCATGTAAATTTGTCATTGCCACCTCCATGAAAATTGATATTAGCAAAGTAAAAATCCCAAAGCACCTTACTGATGCTTATTTCAAGAAAAAGAAACTGCGGAAGCCCAAACACCAGGAAGGTGAGATCTTCGACAGAGAGGAGAAATATGAGATTTCAGAGCAGCACAAGATTGATCAGAAAGCTGTGGACTCACAAATTTTACCAAAAATCAAAGCTGTTCCTCAGCTCCAGGGCTACCTGCGATCCGTGTTTGCCCTTACAAATGGAGTTTATCCTCACAAATTGATGTTCTAGATTTTTTGCCAAGAATCTAATTAAATAACTGATCATATATATACATATATACAAAAGAAGTGAAAGGCATATCTAAAACCTATCATTTCCAAGGTACAAAGTAGAGGAGATCCTAGGCAACAAGTATGGGCAGCCGTCACTTCAGCTGCTCTGAGCACATGCGAAGCTGAAGAGCCAACACTAAAAAGGTCACTTCTTCAAAAATGATGCTGGCCAATCTGCTCTCATGGGAGAACAGAAACAGGTAGTCCACGTAGGCTGGTGCCCAGCACTGGGTGAACGAGGCCACCCCTGTGGACTTGCTCTGCTTTTTCCATGTGGTCTGTAAGCAGCAAACAAAGAGATCCAGTTCTGGCTTGGTTTCACTGCAAATTTAACTAAAGCAAGTCAAAAAAAATCCCTCTGGGAATCTTAGCACTTTTTGCAGGCCTAAATTACATTAATTTTGCATAAGTTTTTCAATGCTATTTTTAGAAGAGTATAAAAGATTCAAATTTATCTTTGATTACAAATCTCCTTCCTTCTTAATACTGGAGTTCACTGGAGCACTCACTGTGTCACTGCATCGGTTTTAGGCCTTGCTGTCTGGTGGTTATTTATCTGCACGGTAAAAGCTGTGGGACTGGAAGTCACCTTTGGATCCTTTCGAGTCACCTTTGGAATCTTATGCCATGTTACGATAGCTACTTTGTTCTTCCTTCCAAATCTGCCTTCCTAATTACCAGGGTACTGAACTGGTTATGCCTATTTCTGCAATGGTTATTATGAAACTAAAGTTACAATTTTATTAGTCAGGATGGGCTAGATTATGCTGTAGTCACATACCCAGAAGCTTCCCCTAGCGTTTCTCAGTGTCAGCATTAATGACATTTTGGTCAGATACTTCCCTGCTGTGAGGGCCTGACTGTGCCTGTGGACTACTGAGCAGCACAAGTGGCCTCTACTCACGACGGGCCAGCTGTTCTCACCCAGTGTGACAACCAAAAACCATCTCCAGACATGCCACCTGTCCCCTGGAGCAAGGGGTGAGGGGACAGAATGACCCCTTATAGAGAACTATTAGTTTCAACAATGACTTGGCATTTTAAAGACATATACTACATGTTCATCCTGGTCTGAAGTAGACAGAATCATCTCTTTCCCAGGCACTGCTGGTCTTGCAGCAGAGCAGGGAAGACTACCGCTGAAAGCATCTGTCCAGAAGTAATACACACATGTCACTTCTGCTCACAATTCTTTGGCTAAGGCAAGTCACATGACTAAGCCCATGACAATGGGACAAGGAAATAAATATAATCCCCTCTGAAAGAGAAGTAGAAACTATTTGTGTACAATACAACAGTTTACTATGTTGCTTTTCCTTCAGACTTTGTACTTCCAATCTCAACCATTCCTCATTATTCATTAGAAGTAAGGCTGGGGGGTGGGCAGCAGATGGCATGGTGGTGAAGGTGCTGGACTCCCACATGGTCGACCATGGTTCCAGTCCTGAACCTAGTGGTTTGAAGGTCACAGTAGATACATGTGTGTATATGACTAGAATCTCAGGAAGAGAAGGGATTGCAGAGTGGCCCTCCCTACTAGGGGCAGGGGGGGGTGACTTCTCCCTTTTTTTCTTATTATCTCTGTCACTCTCCAGTGAGCGCACACTCCTTATGGCAATATATATATATGTGTGTGTGTGTGATATGTGTATGTATGTATGTGTGTATGTATGTATGGGTGTATGTGTGTGTATGTATGTGTGTGTA